GGCCTGAGTTATCATTTATCTAATTAATTAATCATTGACCTAATATATATCCTACGTACTTAATTGGTAATTATTCGATGGACGTAATTACCCTTATGACCTAATTAGGGTTTCCCCTTGGGTGTATATATAGAGGTCATTAGGCAGAGATCAAAACACACCAATCTTACGCCTCCTCTCTGCCTCTCTATTCTTGTGAGTCTTCCTCACCTTAGCCATCATAACGATACACCCTAAACGGGAACTCGATCTGTGTGAGAATCATGGCCTCATCCCTAACCACGTTTACAGGATTATCATGTACACATGATTAAATCCCTAATTTATATTTTATGTTTAAGAATTGATCAACAGGAGTATCTTCCTTGAGAACCACGTGAGCTCGAACCGTCGAAGGTGGCTATAACTTTGCCTTTCCACGAATTTTGGTTCACCACGCCCATATCCACGAACCTTCTACCGGATTCTCTCGACATTTTAATATATTTTTATTTTGATAAGAAAGGACTATAATAAATATCTAAAATATTAATTATATATTAAATTTAGAAATTATAATATTAATTTATAAAAAAATTAATAATATAATATATTAATAAATAATAATATATGATAATATGATTATATGAATAATGAATGTATTTATATATTATTATATAATATATTAATATATATTTATATTATTATATGAATATAAATTGTAAAAAGATTGAAAAAGAGATAATAAGAATTAATAGATAATTAGAGATGAAATGACAAATAGATTGAGAAATGAGACATTGAGAGATAGAGATTTGAGAGCTGTGTGAAATTTTTTTAAAAAATGAGTATATTTATAATGTATTCCCCCCAACCCCCCTTCCCCTCAACGGCTAAGTAGTCGTGTGAGGGGTCCCTCCCCTCTTTAATGGATTCTTTTTTTTTTTTGCAGGTGGGCCGGCAAAAAAAGTAATTTCGGTATCAGAACCGGTACCGAAAAAATGGAACCGGAACCGGTACCGTTGGTAGCGGTGCCGGTACTGGTTCCCTGGAACCGTGGTGGCGGGCCGGTGAGCCGTCTCCGGTAACGGTACCGAACCGGTACTGTGTCCACCCCTACTCAGTACTCACGATAGGTATCCCAGAGCTTTAAGGTGAACACAGATATTCATAGACACCTCTACTATACCTAGACTATCATTATACGGTATGTATTTGCCTTTAATACAACAAGTAGGGTTTCCCTAGAAGCGGGTGGCCTAAAGTGTAATGTCGACATTAACTTTTGGTTAAATACTGGTGATGCAAGGGTTATGGTGGTGGTGCGCAATGCTCAAGGGCTCTTTATACAAGGGATGCATCGTGGTCTTGGGAGAATAAAAAGTGCTTTGCTCGCTGAGGCAATGGGGGTACGGGAGGTATTGATATGGCGAAAAGATGATTTTGCTCAACACACAATGTTTATTGAATTGGACAACTGCATGCTATTCCTGACTCTTCAAGCAGATAAGTGTAACACCTCTTATTTCTTAGGTGTGGCGACTGGTGAATGATTGTAAAGCACTTGAGACAGAATTAAATTTTCTCTCGTGGTCTATTGTTAGAAAATCAACGAATCAGGTTCCTCATTTATTGGCTCGAGCGCCTGACTCTGGTTCTGATTTCTCTGAATGGGGTTTTATCCCTTCAGCTCATATTTGTGATGTCTTGAACTTTGATACTTTTCAGTAATAAAAGTACCATTTCATCATTTATTTAAATACTACGGTTTTCCAAACCTTTTTCAGTAATGGATCATATCTGTTTAAAACTTGATTTGGTAAAACTAACACAAATTTAACATGTTCATTTGAATTATCTAAAATTAGATTCAATTCGACTCAAAACATTTCAATTTGAAATTTAAGTCACTCATTTAAACCAAAGCCCAAATTGAATTGAATCGAATTCAACTTGAACCTAATTATAACATAAATTGAGAGAGCTCGAATAAAAATAAGCTTACTAACATATACTAAGAGCGTTTATTTGCTACTTATTTAAGGGTATTGCTAAATCCACTCAAAAAATGATTATATCTATACTTTTTTTTATATATTTGCTAAATCCACATCGATTAACATAACATTATTAAGAGTAGTTTTTTAATAAATCAGTTGATGTCGTGTTTCTCTACTTATAAGCTAATTTATAAGCTTCTTATAACTCAAAAAAATAAGTACATCTTACCTACTTATTTTTAAGCTAGTTTTGTGTTTCTTTGTTTTGACAAAATCTCTTACAAAACTATCTCTAACCTTTTATGGATATTATTAAATGATTCATCTCTCATTTAGGTCACTTTACAAAAAAAGTTCAATAATCAGCTTATAAATGAAAAATTGTTTAATCACTAATGTGTCATTAAACACCCGCATTACATCACGGTGTAGAATATTTAGGCATTCTTTAGTCATCTAAGTATTCAAGCTAGTTCATCATCAATCTAACTCGTAATTGCTCGCAGTTAACGCTAACTAATTCAACAACACAACTCTTAGGCTACGTTCCGTTCAACTTATTTTTCTGATCTGATTTGATTTTTTGTAGTTCTGATCTGATTGGATCTGATCTGGTCTAATCTGATTGGATTGGATCTGATCTGATTGGATCTGATCTGATTAATTATGATTTGATTTAAAATTCAAATCAATAATTTGATTTGACTTTATAAAAACGTTTGAAAATTGTTAACTCATATATTAGAATAATCATTCATATTATAATGTAATAATATTTTTTATTTTATGATTTTTTTGTGAAATTAGAATATAAATTTAATATTTTAATAATTACTTTATATATACATTAAAATAAATATTTAATTTATAAATAAATTAAAAAGTAATTAAATTTAGATAATCAATATATAGAGGAGATAGTATTTTTATTAAAATATCTCATCCTTATAAAAGATCAAAACTTTAGGAACTCAAATTACAGGTAGCAATAAAAATGTATTTTAAAAGTAGAATTATATTGACATTGTGAATGTATTTTAAAAATAATTTTTCCAACGTCTAATAATTAAGGATTACTTTCTCAGTTTTCTATAAACTTGTTTCTAAAGTTTATTCTTTTTCATTTTTAATAATAATAATAATAACTGTTAGACAAATGTGCAACTCTAGAGGGGGGGTGAATAGAGTTGTTTTCAAGAATGTGCGTTTTTCGCGTGTGTGAAATAATAAAATCGCAGGAATAAATAAAGAGAGTAAGGGAAACCAGAACACCGAGATTTATACTGGTTCACCACCTCGTGGCTAGTCCAGTCCTCCAAGAGACTCTCTCGAAAGTCCTACTAATCTTCAAGCTTCAACGGGTGCTTGAAAAACCAGTACAACTTGAGAACTTGAATCACACAAGCCTCACTTTCTTACAACAACAAGACTTGAGTCACACAAGTCTTAAGAACAACACTCAAATGAGATTGAGTTTACAACACAAGAATGAAAGCACACACAATTGAGCAAAGTAGTGTTGAAGAATTAAAGCTCTATGGATGACAACTTCTTTAGCACTCAAAGAAAATATTTCTAACTCTCAAAAATAATATTTTGATGAGGAAGATGAAGCGAAGGATGAATATAGCTCAAAGAATATATTGGAGTGCAAGAGATGTGTTTGGAAATGAAGGAGAATGAGGGATTAAATAGGCTGAGAAAAATAAAGTCGTTGGAGTACGCTAAGGATATGCACCAGATAAAATTAATCGATTAACGTAGAAAGATAAATCGATTACGGTACACAGAGGCGAAAAACCTGAATAGAAGAACAGAAATAATCGATTAATGGAAGGCCTAAAGATCAATTAGTCGGCTCTGTCCGAACTAATCGATTAATTGAAGACAAAAAATCGATTATTGGTCAGACCAGGGAATCCAACGAAAAGCCTATTAATCGATTATATGAAGGCAGATAATCGATTATGGAGGAAATAATGCGCAACACAAAAGGGCCCAAGCCAGTTGCTATATGAAGTGAATTGGCGTATACTTGTTTGTTTGAGACAAGAACACTCCTCAAGAGAAAGTATCCCTTATTCAATGAATTTTGAATAGGGGAGAAAAAGTGAGTCCAAAAATTATTTTGTGTGTCAAACGATGTATACGAAAAATATTTAAAGTAGATTTTTCTTACCAAAAAAAATTTTGTAATCTTTAAAAATATTTTTTAAGAAATTTTGACACACTTATTTTTGAAACTGACTCAGTAAAATATTTTTGGACAGAAAAAAAAATAATTTTTCAACTGACTCAAGAAATAATAATTTTTTTATCCCTCAGAAATAAATTTGTTTGTGCAGAAAATATTGTCATCCTTACAAAGATTCCTAGACTTAATAAAAAATAAAAAAAGTCTTCGGAGTATTCACTTCACTTCAAAAAAAAATTTGCGTAGGGGTGATCGTCGATTTTTATCGCCGTAAACTTCTTGATACCCTTCTTTGCTTTTCTCGATACAAAAAATAAATTTTCGAATATCGATTTAATCATCCTGTTTGTCATTTATCAAAACAAAAAAATATTCCGAACAATAATAAAGGGGTTTGAACTCATGTCCAACAATAACAACAACAACAACAACAACAACAACAACAACAACAATAATAATAATAATAATAATAATTCTCAATGGGATCCGATCTGATTGGATTTGATCTGATCTGATCTGATTTTATCTGATCTGACCTGATTCGATCTGATCTGATCTGATCTGGTCTGATCTGATTTTAATAAGAAAAAAAAATAAGAAAAAATAAGTTGAACGGAACGGGGCCTTAGCAACTCATAACTAAGGTAGACATATGCAACACAAGCCATACCAATAGGGGAATGGTTACCGTTAGGTGGGTGGAACCCCATTCGTAGATCCACAAAATGGTTATTGGATTTCCGTACATACATTTTCACCCCAAGTCACTGGGTGAACATACTCACAAGGTTTACCATTCTAACACTAAGGTCCTAAGGCAATCCTAAAGTCCTTCCAGGTAGTCTAATTCATTTATCAACAACAACAACAACTCAGTTGAGTCCCACTACAGTAGGGTCTAGGGAGGGTGTGTACGCAGACCTTGCCCCTACTCGGAGGTAGGGAGGCTGTTTCCAAGAGACCCCCGGCTCAACCTGCACAAAAAATATCTGCACAAAAAATATGGTAGGGAACACAGTATAACACGGATAAAGCACTAAGTACAATGAAATTAAAGTCCTGCAAGCAATAGAAAAATATTCCAAGCAAACACAACACACTACAAAAAAACTTCTGCAGCACCGAGCTCCTATCCAACTACTCGAATCCTAGTTCTCCAAAGGTTTCTATCTAAAGCCATATCCTCAGTCATGGTGAAAAGTTCTAAATCCTGCCTAATCACCTCCTTCTAATTCTTCCTAGGTCTACCCCTTCCCCTACTTCCCCTGATAACCGTAATCCTCTCGCATCTCCGTACAGGGGCGTCAACATCCCGCCGTCTCACATGACCAAACCATCTCAACCTCGCATCTCGCAACGTATCTTCCTCCGGCGCCATGCCTACCTGACGTCGGATAACTTCGTTCGAAATCCTATCCCAACTTGTCTTCCCACTCATCCATCGTAACATCCGCATCTCCGCCGCATGCAGACGAGGCACATGAGTCTTCTTAACCGCCCAACACTCTGCCTCATATAACATAACAGGCCTGACTACGGATCGGTAGAACTTACCTTTCATCCTGGGCGAAATCTTCAGATCACACAACACCCCTCAAGCCAACTGCCATTTGGCCCAAGCCACTCCAACATGATGTCCAACATCCCCGTCTAACTCCCCATCAGCCTGGATTACCGAGTCAAGATATCGAAACCTGTCTACCTTAGGTACTAATTCATTTATCATCAATTTTTCATTATTCATATCATCATATGACAATATTATCACAGGCAACATTGTACAAGATCAAGTGTCAACGACATGCATAACAAATTTGTTCATAATAAAGTTCATCAATAAGCGGCCTAGCGTTAGGTGATAACTCTCACATTTACCATCATGCAACACGCTAGATATTGGAATCAATCATTGATATTAAGTTCACAGTTAAAGAAATCATCAAAGTCATTGGTTACCAGTCACGGTATCTACATACCGTTGGACGGTACCTATAAACCAGAAGGCGGTAGCTCGGGTATTGGATGCTCTTTCTCAGCTCTTCAACGAGTAATCTTGTACCATTACACAATCTATATATTTGGTCAATATTCTTCAATAACATAATCGGTACCCCTTTTTTAAAAACTAATTTGAATGAACATGTTTTTGTAGTATTCAATTACAAATGTAATATCAATATTTTATACTTCCTAGGTTCACAATTGAATGTACTTGTTTTTGTACTCCCTCAGTCGTAAATTAAATTAACTATTTATTACTCACAGGGTCAAATGTTATTCACTTTCGTTTCCTATTTACGTTAGTCATTTGATAAAATAATATAGTCATGTCACCACTAGTTTTGTAGATCTTTTAATATTGTTTTTAATTATGTAATTTTTATTTTTTAATTCTACACCATTTTTCATATAAAATAATTTAAAAATAACTTCAATCAGACATCGTAAACCAAAACAGACGATTTAAATTGAGACGGAAAGAGTAATACTCTATTACAAATGTAATATTGTTAAGAAAAATATGAATTGTTCATTTATCAATTAATTAGGTCATGCTCCATCATAAGTTGCAGGAACAAATTGTCCATCATCATTCATCACCATCAAGTTGCCATTTGTATAGTATGTATACTATTTGTAATAGTGTTAGCACTAAGCCTCTCTACTATAAATAAGAGGCTTAGGATCCCTGTAAATTACAATTAAGAATAAAAAGAAGAGTGAAGAACTAATAGAGAGAAGAAATCAGAAATATATTATATCTATTCTCATAATCTCTGTGTAGTTTTTCTCTCATTTTATAACACGTTATCACCACGAATTTGCTCAAAATCTCAGGAAACCTTGTTCTTCTCAGAAGGTATATTTATTTTATTTTCTTCATAAATAAACTAAAATATTTTCTTAAAAACTATGAAAAGTATGCTCTGTGATTTCCCAAAGTTAGGATCCTTCACATCAGAAACTTATAGTTATAAAAATAAAATTAGATAAATTAAAAAGGATTAAGTTTCTTCATAATTGCAGAAAATCACATTTTTGAAAGAAAAAAAGGGGGTAGAATTTAATATGGAGTACTTAAGATTTAAAAAAAAAATTATCTTTTAAACTAATCTTGAAAGATAAGATGTAAAAGAAATTAATGTGATTTAGCTATAAAAAAAACATAGAAGACTTACGTAGTAATTTACTTTTCTTAGCAAGTTTGCTTTTGCTCTGCCTTCTGATATTTTGATACTCCCCCGGACCAATTGTTTTGTGAGGCTAAGTAAGAGAATTGAATGAATGAACTTAATATTCAATAGGAGCTCAACTCTACAGAAAAAAACTATAGTTATATACTCTATGATTTTTTCTCCCGTGATATACATAGTAACACCATAGAATCTTTATGTATCTCATCTCATTGGATTGGATTGGATTGGATTGGAGTGATGAATTATTTATCTACTATTACAACTCACATGTCAGCTTTGTTTTTGTTTTGTTATCTCTGACTAAGATTCCTTAGAGATAATACTCCATATAATAAAATAAAAAAAAACTACTAGGAATATTTAGTGCAATAATATACTAAGGAGTATTAGTAATGACATGAAATTTTTATTCCGTGTACTTTTAGATGTAGTACATCATTATTCTACATTCTTTTTATGCCATCATCATACAAAGCAATTATTATTTCACTCTTAACATGTACATGTGAATATGTTTTGTCATTTTATCGTTCTAAAATATACTCCATATAAGCAATACTTTTTAGATGGATATTTGCATGTGAACATATGATTTTCCCTTTCTTTATCATTAAAAAAAAGGTTTAATAATTTTTTTTTCTTTCATTTTTAAACGTACCACGTACTTAATAACAAAATAAAATAATAATAAAAAATCTAATAAATCAAATTTTATTATTTTGTAGTTTATTAAATGGCCAACATCACCAAAAGAGAGTTCGACATTCTTGATTTATCCAGTCAAAGGTACCTGGAGTGGAGGGTTGATGCCATCACTCACCTCAAGGCAAATGACCTAGAAAATACAATTGCTGAAAATAATACAGCAACATCTCAGCAAAAGGCAAAAGCCATAATATTCCTTCGCCACCACCTTCATGAAAGTTTAAAATCTGAATATTTATTGGTGGAAGATTCGAAGGAATTATGGAATAATCTCCAAGAGAGATATGGACATCAACAAAAGGTCCTACTACCAAGAGCTCAATATGAATGGATCAATTTAAGATTCCAAGATTTCAAATCTGTTTGTGACTATAATTTTGCTATTTTTAAAGTCACGTCCACATTAAAATTATGTGGACATAATATCACTGACCATGACATGTTGGAGAAAACTTTTTCCACCATGCATATGTCAATTGTGATATTACAGCAACAATACAGAGAAAGGGGCTTTAAAAAGTATTCTGAGTTAATCTCAGTATTACTTGTTGCTGAGCAGAATAATGAGCTTTTGATGAAAAATCATAACATGAGGCCTACCGGTTGTACCCCTACAAATTTTGGTCATCCTGATCGTGGTTCAGCACCAGAATCAAATGTTATCCAAGGTGGTGCACGCGGACACTTTAAACGTGGACGCGGAAATAACCGCAACAAAGGGCCATATAGGGGATATAAACATCCAAATGAATCATCCTCCAAAGGAAAGGGAAAATTTAAACCACCACAATCTAAAACTCATGAAAAGCCAAAACCAAGTGGTGAATGCTATAAATATGGCATAAAAGGACATTGGGCTAATGAATGTCGAACGGCAAAATGCTTGGTAAAATTATACCAACCTTCCACAAAAGGAAAAGGAAAAAATGTGGAGGCTAATTATGCTGATGATATCAATCCAATTTTGCCTAAATTTGATGTATCCGATTTCTACATGGATGATGCTGAAATTGGTGATGAGGTGGCCTTTGGTGGAACTACTACTGTTTAAATATTTTAAGTTACGCTGTTATGGTGTGTTTACTTTTAAAATAAATGTTTAAAATCTGTACTTTAATTTTCATGTGTACTTGTATTATTATATCTGTTCTAAAAAATTATAATAAAATGTATGATATTTGTGTTAATTATCTTGAACTTATATTTATTTATATATTTATTTATATTCAAAATATGGAGATAAATGCTTATGGCTCAAGTGGCAAAGAACAATGTCTAATTGACAGTGCCACAACGCACACCATTTTGAGAAACAAAGAATATTTTTCTCAAATGACATTGATGGAAACTAATGTCAATACAATATCTGGTGTTGCAAAGCTCATTGAAGGGTCTGGAATGGCTTGTTTAATCCTTCCCCAAGGAACAAAATTAAATATCAAAGACGCATTATATTCCAGCAAATCCCGAAGGAATTTATTGAGCTTTAAGGATATGCGTCAAAATGGTTATCACATTAAAACCATGACAGAAAATAAAAAGGAATACTTGTGTCTAACGACAACCAAATCTGGCAATACAAATTCTTTGTGAAAAGATGCCAGCGTATTCCTCGGGGCTATATTATACTCACATTAGTCCCGTTGAAGTGAATGTTGTCTCTAATAAAAAATTAGATGACCAGAAAACATTCATTCTGTGGCATGATCGTTTAGGTCATCCTGGCAGTGTAATGATGCACAAAATAGTTCAAAATTCACTTGGACATCCATTGAAAAATGTAAGGATTCCAAGATCAATTGATTTTCCATGTGTTGCCTGCTCTCTTGGAAAGATGATTGTCAGGCCATCTCTAAATAAAATTGGAGTTGAATCTCCTGCATTTTAAGAAAGAATTCAAGGAGATATATGTGGGCCAATTGCCCCAGCATGTGGACCATTTCGTTATTTTATGGTGTTGATCGACGCATCAACACGTTGGTCACATGTTAGTCTTTTATCTACAAGAAATTTTGCATTTGCAAACCTCCTTGCTCAAATCATACGTTTGAGAGCTCAATTTCCAGATTATTCAATTAAGAAAATCTGAGTTGATAATGCAGGAGAATTTACATCCCAATCATTTAATGACTATTGCATGTCTATTGGGATTGATGTGGAACATCCAGTTGCTCATGTGCACACTCAAAATGGTCTTGCTGAGTCATTAATAAAGCGATTACAATTAATTGCTAGACCATTATTGATGAAATCCAGTTTACCTGCATCTGTTTGGGGACATGCTGTATTGCATGCTGCAAATTTAATTCGGCTAAGGCCTACTGCAAATCATATTTTTTCCCCATTGCAATTGGTAACTGGAAAAGAACCAAATATTTCTCACATAAAAATATTTGGATGTGCCGTATATGTACCAATT